AGAATTTCCAACCTTTTTAAGCACAGAAGAATATATAGTATTTTGAAAGAGGAGAACATTCTACAGCTTCCCTTGGTAATTCACACTAATGCTTTAACAACTTTCAGCATCAGGAAATTCTTCCATGTGAGTTACAGCCTAAATTCTTCATGCTGCTTGAGCCTGTTTCTTCTTGTTCTGTCCTCAGTGGAGGGATTGAACAGCTGGTCACAGGTCCCTATGCAAGAGCCTTTCATATAATTGAAAACTGTTATTAAATTGCTCCTTCAGCCACTCTTTCTTGCTTGTTCTCTCTTTCTTTCTTTTCTTTTTTATGGCTAAATAATCCCAATTCCCTTAAGCTGTTCTCAGGTCTTTCAAACCCCTTAATTATCATTGTGTCTTTCTGCCAAGCCTTGTCTAAGTTCCAGGTCAGTTGTAGCCACCGGAATTAGACACTGTTTTCTAAGAAGGACTTAAACAATAGCGAGGATAATGAGATAATTTCCTCATGCTGTACTTTCTATACTTTTAGTTATACATCACAGACGTGGTGTTTCTTTCTTTCTTTTATTTTTTACACCTACATTTTTTGCTGACTCATAGTCAGATTTTCCTCCCTGTCTTTTGGAATGGACAGAAGATTTGTTATTATTACACCTTCTGTATTAAGTATGAATTCTTACTCCGGCAGCATGTCTTTTAATCCATCATTAAACAGGCTGCCATTTAAGCATAAGTTAGAAAAAATATATAGGTTCAGATTAAACACCAATAAACCTATGTTTTAAATAGGCACAAATGAGTAATTGTTTTCCAATTTACTGCCTTTCTATAATGGTTTGTCTCCTGGCTAGAAAGGGTTATTTTGCTAAAGTTGTTTTCTAGACCAGTGGAGCAAGAGATTGTTATGGTACATACTGTAGCTAAACACTTGCAATTCCTTTGACAAAGTCTCTCATTATGTCTTTGTCTACATGATGGAGAAACATATGCAGCAAAAACTAGATGATAATATAACTGGGAAGACTCCTAGTTCTATAACCAGAAAGGACTGAGTCATGGATTTGTATTGACCTGAGGTGCAGGCTGTAAGTGGTATGGGTCATGTTTAATCTTGGCTGTTTGATATTTTCACTAGTGGCTTTTTAAAATAAAGAGAAAACACCTGTTTCAAACTAGAAGTTGCCCAAAGTTGGGAAGAATAGCCACTCTTTATTGGCCATAAGAGTCAGGATTCTTAAAGATATTGTTACAATTTTACAATGAGCTCAAACTAACAGGAAAGTCCTTGAGAGATGTGAAAGGAAAGAAATCCCAATTGGATAAGTACAGAGTGGAGGAATCATGGGAAACAACCAAGAACAGCATTTCACATAATGCCCAGTAGGGCATTAATACTTTGTGGTATTTACGGGCCTTATAAGTTTAAAAAGGACAAAGGTCTTGGGATCATTGAATCATAAGTGTGGAAATTCTGAGGTCAAACAAAGTTTAACGTGTTTCTTTACTGATGACCTTCTCAGCTTTTAATATGTTAATATGCGTTAAGAATTTTAAGAGGTGAATATTATGTGCAATGTTTCCTTAATTAATTTGACCTTCTTTTCATGAAGCATTTTGCTGGATGATTGATCTGCTAGATGCACTGGGAAACACTGACTCAGAGATTTTAGTTGAGTAGGAACCCTATGTCAGCCTACAGTACAGAACAAAAGAAAGTAATTGAATTACATTGTCCAGAGAAATGGGGGTATCATTCCCAGCAATCATATTTGGAGAATAGTTTTCTAAAGGACAATGGCTTATTTTGCCTTATGGCCATGTTATATGGGGAAAAAACAAAAGGAATGAGTATGAAGAAGCATGGATAGACATGAAAGCTCTGGTTAAATATTTAAAGGGCTGTGCAAAGGCTGAGAACATCTGGGTTTCTGGTCAGATGGATAATGATAATGTCTATAGCAATAGCAAACATGGTTCTTCCTATGTGCCAGACACTGTTCCAAGTAACTTTCATTTATTAACTCATGTAATCTTAAAATAACCCTATGTGGTAGGCACTGTTATTATTTCCACTTTATAGCAGAAAAAAATTAAAACACAGGGAGATAAGTTATTCTCCTAAGGTCATACAGCCAATGAGTAGCAAAGCTGAGATTTGAACTCTATTGGTTTGACTCTGGAACTTCTGCTCTTAAATGCTACGCTGATGGATTTTAGCTCAGTAGGGTCAAGTGCTTTTGACAGGTACCTGAACACAGATGTTCAAGATCACCCTTTAAGGATATTTGCTCTCTCACATGGATGGGATTTATGGAATGCCTGTTAAAAACACACCGGCATAGGGTAAGAGTTTGGACTCCATAAATGCTGAAGGTCTTACAGCTCTGTGGTGCCATTTGAAAAGGATGAATTGACTTGCATGGTCCCTTTCATCTTTAGATTCCATAATTCCTTTTTTTAAAAAAAATTTCCACAAAGTACCTCTATGATAGCACTCTACACAGAGAAAAGTGCTCAATAAAAGTTTTTGATCAGAGGTTTGAACTGATAACATCTTGCAGCTAGGAAATCCAAGGTTAAACAGTTCATTATAATGTTGTTAAATTATAATTAGGGATAAAGACTGGAGTACTGCTGAAGTGGCCAGTGTTATAATTCAAATGGCCTATCAGTCTATAACCCTACTGCCTTTCTATCTGGAATGGGGATTCATCTTTTATTAGCAAACCACATTCCAAGAAAAACAATATGGGTTTGCAGTTCAAATACTCATTACTTGTGTGATACTAACTATCCCATGTCATATATTTAGTCAAAATCGGTCATGGAATAAGTACTGCCCATTGGTTCTTGGCAAAAGCAAATGAAAATAATCTCTGGAGAAAGCACTTTTATTCTAGGACTCAAAGTGTCTCCAAAAAATATTTTAAGGTCAGTGTCATACATATCAAAACATCAATTAGGCACACAAGAAATCAAGGTGAGTGAGAACCAGCAAAATAGTAGACTATAGAAGCACACCCACAATATTTTCATATTTCAGAATTATTAGAGTTGTTTTGTTAAAAAAACTATGTTTATGCTGTTAAAAAAATAAAAGACAGCATTGGAAAATATCTGCAGAGAACTATAGACTTTTGTGGTGACTATCTTTAAAATGACCAAATAGAATTTCTAGATATTAAACAGTATAATGACCAAAATTTTATTTTATTTTATCTTATCTTATTTTATTTTATTGAGACAGAGTCTCACTCGGTCATCTGGGCTAGAGTGCCATGGCATCAGCCTAGCTCACAGCAACCTCAAACTCCTGGGCTCAAGCGATTCTCCTGCCTCAGCCTCCCAAGTAGCTGGGACTACAGGCATGTGCCACCATGCCCAGCTAATATTTTCTATTTTTTAGTAGAGATGGGATCTCGCTCTTGCTTGGGCTGGTCTCGAACTCCTGACCTCAACTGATCCTCCCGCCTCGGCCTCCCAGAGTGCTAGGATTATAGGAATGAGCCACTGTGCCCAGCCCAAAATTTTAAGCTTCATGGGTTTGTAGTAGACTGGCTGCAGCCAAAGAGAAAAATGGATACCCAGACAGTAGGGCAGAAGGAATTATTGAGAATGAAGCATAGAAAGATTTTTAAAAAGGGAAAAACTAGGGAAGGCCTGTTTACAGAAATGGAGATTAAGAAAGTCTAACATTTATCTAATAGAGTTCTGTAAGCAGAATAGAGAGGGAATGGAGAAGAGGCACTATTCATTGAAATCATGACTGAGAAGATTCCAGAGCTGATTAAAAGCTAAGCCACATGTTCAAGAAGCCCAGTGAATCCTAAGCAATCTAAATAAAACCCTAGAAACACAGCACAAGACAGGAAAAGGACAGATTACCTTTATAGGAGCAACAGTCATCTTTACTACTGACTTTTCAACAGTAGCAACAAAGTGTGATAAAAGTGGAATAATATTTCAGTATGCTAAAACAAAATAAAAACAAACAAAACCCCAAAACCTTTCACTCTAAAATTTTTATACGCAATGAAGATAGTTATCAATAATATGAATTTTAAAAAAAGGTATTTTCAGACAAACAAATCCCAAGAAATTTGCCACCAAAAGCTAAAGGAAATTCTAAGGGATATACTTCAGGCAGAACTCATCCCAGATGGAAGATTTGAGAGGGAAGAAGCCATGAAGAGGGGGTGGAAAAAGTGGTCAATATATAGATCAATCTATTAAACAATACAAAAAATTAAAATGCAATATTGCAGGGTTAAAAATGATAGAATTAAAATGTATGACCACAGTAACATATAAGTCAAATGATGGGTAAATATACTTTGAGTTTTCTAAGATCATTGTACTGTTTAGACTTTGAAAGAGATGCTGATAGAGAATCAACAGGGAACCATGAAACAGTCCTGGGGCAGGACGTTTAGATTCTGTTATCAGCTCTGCTGCCAGATGTATGGCCTTTGACAAGCTACTTCTCTAATCTACATCTCAGTTTTCTTGTCTGTAAAACGAGGCTTTGGAACCAGATGAATTTTAAAGCTCCTCATTATGAGTCTATGAGAAGTTGATTCTCTAGGAAAAAAAAAAAATCAGTAGTTCCTGAGTTGTTGGAGTGTTTTTTCTTCCTTTGAAATTTTATCAATAAACATGTGCATTTCACTTCTGGCTAATTTTTATATATCTGTTCAAAAATCGGAGCTAAGTATAGTCTTGCTCAGGTGTATATTTTGCTTTACTTTTCTCATTTGTTGCTTTTATTTTGTTGTCATCTAGTAGCCAAAAAGAATAACGGCAGTTAACCACATCTAGGAGTAGACAGCTTATATGGATGCTGGAGGAACATTTGCAGAAATAAGCTATGAAAAGCCAGCCTTGCTGTGCAACTGTTGTTCTTTGTTTTTTTTTTTTTAAATTTATTACCTAGACTGACATATATCTCCTTTATTTTCTCACCTTCTCTTCTTGTATCCTTTTGCCCTCCTTCTCTTGCCCTCCTGTCTTTGCAGGCTAATAATAAGCCCGAGATTGAAGCAGCCCTCTTCCTAGACTGGATGAGACTGGAACCCCAGTCTATGGTGTGGCTGCCCGTCCTGCACAGAGTGGCTGCTGCAGAAACTGCCAAGCATCAAGCCAAGTGTAATATCTGCAAGGAGTGTCCAATCATTGGATTCAGGTATTAGGAACAAAAAAAAAAAAGTCATTTTTTCCCTTATCATTTCTTACCTTTCCGTGACTTGATCTTTTATCTCCTGTGCCAGTTGCTGTTAGTTTGTTCTTCTCCAAAATTGGGAGAGAAGGTGATGGGCTGGAACATCGATCACTCCTGTCACTCCCCTCATCACTGGGTTATTTTGGTGGATCTGACTCATTAGGCAGGTGTCCCTTTCCACCTTCCCTCTTTAGCTCTTCAGAGCTACATATTTGGTTGAATGAGACCGAGTGCCTGTCACCATGGAGGTATTATAGATTTAACTGTACCTCCTCCTTCTTGGAACCAAAACATTTTTCCCATCTCTTTCTTCTTTTTCATGGTCTTTTCTGTTTATAGAAACTATCTAAGAATCAGTTATAAAACTAAGAGATGATTCTGTTCCGGGAGGAACCATCATGGTAACTCAGTCTCATTTACTTCATACCAATTTTTTTCCCCTTAAGTAACAAGAATTGTTTTTGGCATTCTGGAACTTGCTTCTTTATCTGTGAATCTGATTATACTCTTTGCATAGTATCCTCATGAACTTCTAAGGGAATAAAAAGTATGCCAGTAAATGAAAGATTCACAAAGCAGCTTAAAAAGCCAAGAAAACATTCCTTATAAATTTAAAAGTGAAAGAGCTAGGAAACATAGGAGATTATTATTTTGATATTCTTAAAATGTCATGGAAAACAATTGGCTCTTAAACCTTTAGCGCTGTTGACCTGTTTGTGGAGACAGAATATTTTAAAATGAATTAACTTTATTTAACAATAATCCTAATCCAAATTCTGAAACCATGATGTATTTAAACATGAGGATCAGCATCAAGGTTTCCATAGTGATGAATAAGCCACAAAGTTGTAAACTAGCTATATGGACTATGCCTGTGCTGAATCCACTTAGCAGCTGAGTAAATACTCTTTTCTAGTTATGCTTAGACTTGTTTCATTACTTTATTTTCTAGTAACTGCTTTATACCATTGTTGTGCCTTTTGTTCATGGTGCTCTTCTGTTAGTGTTTATCTTTCCATACCTTATACTGTTTACAAAGAGACTTCACCAAAACCTTTATAAGTTTCTAAAGCCTAGTAGAGAATAGTAAGTAGGCAGTGCTTACAAAGGACACCTTCTTTCCTTCCTGGTTTTTGGCAGGTAAGAATGATGCCATTGGGGGTGGGGGAATCCACTGGTAACTGTATTTATTACATTTGTAACCTTTCTTTTCGCAGCTTCCTTAGCTAGTGGGATTTGTATACAGGGGAAACTTTTATAAAATAAAAAAGGAAAATGCTTTGGAGGATCTAAGAGAGCATTGTCACCTTCAATTCTTTTGCCCTTATCAAATCATATTATTTTAGGACTCAGCACTTCTCTTTCCTGCTTTCCCCCTCTCGAAAGATGGTTGGGATCTAAAAACGTGGCTTTTCTTCCCACTTCCCCATATGTAACATAAGAATTATGTTTATTTGAATTGGCTAAGGTTCTTATCTGAGAAAGTAAAAGGAAAGGGGAGTAGGAAACAAAGAGTATAGTATTCTGAGAATGGGAGGGAAATGTACCAACTAGCATTTACGGATTATAAATTCTTTTTTTTTTTTTTTTTTTTTTTTTTTGAGACAGAGTCTCACTTTGTTGTCCAGGCTAGAGTGCCGTGGCGTCAGCCTAGCTCACAACAACCTCAAACTTCTGGGCTCAAGCGATCCTCCTGCCTTAGCCTCCCAAGTAGCTGGGACTACAGGCATGTGCCACCATGTCCGGCTAATTTTTTCTATATATAATTTTTTAGTTGGCCAATTCATTTTTTCATTTTTTCTAGAGACAGGGTTTTGCTCTTGCTCAGGCTGATTTCGAACTCCTGACCTTGAGTGATCCGCCTACCTCTGCCTCCCAGAGTGCTAGGATTACAGGCGTAAGCACGTGTCCGGCCATAAATTCTTTCATCTAATCCAAGTTGCATCTTTTCTTGGTGCTTTACTTATCATTTGTGGATTATGTGGTAAGGGATTTCTGAAAAGAAAAAGAGATAAAAGAGATCATGCAAGTGACTATTTGAAGTTGAATCATGTCAGTCAATCAGAAAATGTAATTAAAGCAAGACTTATTTTAATTGAGAGTTCTTAAGTTTCTCTTGTCTTATAAAATGGCTTTATCTTTATAAGTTTTTGAAAATAATTGCTTCAGAAAACTTATGTCCTTATGATGGGTAAAGGGGCATGCACTGCATCAATCTATCTCTCCTGAAAGTTCTTTTAAATTTGAGTATTTGGTCTTCAAAAGACTGGAAGTTTGCCAGTACCTTCCTACTTAATCTCAAAGAGTTCCTAGTGGAGTTTAAATAAAAGCTGAGTTTTTCTTCCCTCCTTCCATATGTTTATAGGATAATCTTTCTGCTAAAATGTTTTGATACTGTAGGAGAGGCACCAGAGAAATCTGGAGGTAGGAAGTTAATCACTTACCTTGTGGGACTAATGAACATTGCGTTCTGTTTCTAGAATTAAGACAATGTGGTAGAGAGTTTATTAAAGAGTGTTCTTTGGGAATTTGACTTGAAGTAATACATATGTGTTTGGTTTTGTTTCTTTACTAGGTACAGAAGTCTGAAGCACTTTAATTATGACATCTGCCAAAGCTGCTTCTTTTCTGGTCGAGTTGCAAAAGGTCATAAAATGCACTATCCCATGGTGGAATATTGTACTCCGGTAAGTTAGATGGCTTCCTGACATGAGAGTTAGTTCACCTGGGATAAATTTTAGTTTTGTACAATATGCAGATCATACGTAATGCTGTGATTTGTAAGGTCCTCAGATGTTCCCCAGCTAAAGTGACTCTAAACTGTAGGCTCCAGGATTTACCCTAGCCCTGGTGCCTAGGGGAGTGCCTGGCACTCATGGAACATGAGAAGACCCTCAGCATAAATGGGGTTTTCTTCTCTCTGCATGGTTGTAGAGACGTTATCACATTTATTTTGCACAGCCCTAGAGGTTGTATGGGGAGGTCTATGGCCATGAGGCATGTTGGGTATGAGGGATGGTATGTGGGTTTCCCAAAATTCATAACTTAACACTTTTAATCATTGTTGCTCACCTTTTATCTGGCTTATATACTAACAACATTTTTAAAATCTGTTTTATATACTAACACCAACTAAATGCTGGGTGTTTACCTTTTAAACTACTCTGTGTGAAATAAGTATTCTTATTTTTCTCCCCTTGTTATAGATGAGGACTGTGAGGTCCTGAGGTTAAATAATTTGCCCAAGTTTCTATAAGTAAGAGGTAGAGCCTTCTCCTACCATGTTGTTTTAAGAAAATGTTCAATGGCTAGTAGAACTTTGAAAACTCATTGGTGAAATGGCAAGGGCTGGGTGGCCAGACAGACCCTAGTATAAATCCTATGTTCTGTAAATTCTAGGTGCTTGGTATTTAAAGTATGATCAGTCACCAGCAATATTGGCATTACCTGGGAGCTTATTAGAAATACAGAATCTTTGGCCCCAGCCTCTGACTTTCTAAAGTAAAGCCTGCATTTTAGCAAGCTCTGCAGGTGGTTCCCTTACACATCAAAGTATGAGAAGCTCTACTTTAGAGCATTTTTCTCTTCCAGCATCAAAGTGATTCTCCCATATACTTGTCTGTCTCACTATTATTCCTCTTACAAAGATCGTCGTGTAGAATGTACCATGCCATGAATAGACTGATATTTAGTGGGTGAAGCATGATGTCAGTGTATACTAACCAGTTTATAAGATACCATAAAGTGTAGTAAAACGTCAGGTCAACTTTTTGACCTTAAGACTTCTATAAACTACCATTTATTGATTAGCACTGTAGCTTGTCTACTTCATTTATTTATCATAACAACTTGGTGAAGTATTATTGACCCCACTTTACAGATGATCAGAGCCTCAGAGAGGTAAATAACTCACCCATGTTAGTAAACACCAGACCTGGTTTCAAAGCTCATTTGTCTGATTCAAAAGCCTTTGCTGGCAACCCCCACACCCTCCTTAATTACAAAATAAGTGCCATATGGCAGGAGACTGCAGTGATCATTTGTTTTGAAATCGTCCTCTCCTAAATCTGATCTCACCTTAACTTCCCTTTCAGACTACATCAGGAGAAGATGTTCGAGACTTTGCCAAGGTACTAAAAAACAAATTTCGAACCAAAAGGTATTTTGCGAAGCATCCCCGAATGGGCTACCTGCCAGTGCAGACTGTCTTAGAGGGGGACAACATGGAAACGTGAGTAATGGCAAAAGCAAAACAGACTCTCCTTCAATGTGTACTTGAACTCCTCTCAGCTGAACACCCTCCTTCACTCCTAAATGCAAACAGTCTCTTTTATTTCTTTCTTTTTATTTACTTGAGCTAAAAAGAGAAAAACAAGCTGATGTTCAATTGCCATTTTCCCATGTCTCTTGACAGTTACTTTTTCCAAAAGTTAAACTTTATCACACAGGGGGGGGGAAACACATTACAGCCACTAATTGCCTTACAAAGTTTTTAAGAAATATGGGACTGTTTACAAATGAGTGATTCCAATATTTCATTTCGATTTTCCTCCCTCACAAATCAGTAGATGTGTGTCTTTTTTGTATCTGATTGTGTGGTCATGTCTAGTCACTTTTTTCTACTTGGGAGAAAATGTAGTCACAGGAAATGACTTCACAGTAAGTAGTAATGATTCTCACGATCAAACGGATGCTGTTTTCACCTCTTTTAAACCTACTACTCTTTTTCTTTTCTGATGGCAATCACACAACTGTTTGTTTTTCTTTTAATTCACTTTGCACCTTTGTTTGGCTGTTGCTTTCCATGACTCATACTTAATTGGTTGGATTTTATTTATTTTGGCTTTTCAATAAATTTTTTTGTGGCTGAGTTTGCCTGTGTCTCTCTTCACCACCTCATTTTTTGTTTTGCAGTCCCGTTACTCTGATCAACTTCTGGCCGGTAGATTCTGCGTGAGTACTTTGCTGAAGGGTGCTGCTACCACCAACACATTTGCTCGCTTGGTTTTTTTAAAAAGAATTTATTCTGTTTATTTGTTTTGTTTTGCTTTCTTTTCTTTTGAAGACATATTTGTTTCCCTTCCTTCATTTCCATTTTTTTTTTTTCCTTCTCTTGATGAGACTTTGAGAGTGCCATCCACCACAGATCAGGAGAATCAGAGTGGGGTTTTCAGGTCCTCCACCTGGTAAAATCCTAACCAGCAGAAATCCTGGCCTGAGTTAAAATTAAAATCAAAGAAATTATAGGGGTTTTAGTTGTATTCCTGGAAGACGTGTTTATGTATTTCTTCAAATAAAATCAAGGATGAGCCTCCTGATTGTATAACCTTCTTTAGCCATATTTCTTGAGATTCAATGCTTTTAAGGCTTTCCAAAGGATGATGGTTTATATCTTAGGGCCTGTTATAAATGGACTATTAAAAAATCAACAGAATTTGTATGATGTTGAATTTGGTTGAATAATTTCAATGAGGTGTGCGGACTTTTTTTTTTTTCTATCAGTTTACGCTATGCTATTTGACTAATCTTTATATACTGACTTTCTAAATTTTGAATTAAACTCATTTTGTTCTCCTCTCCAAACTAACTATTCAGTCATAAACAGTTATACATCTATCTACTCTAGGAGAAAAATATACTGTAGTCTTTGTTATTACTATTGGTGTGTATTAACAATACTAATATTAGATACCAACAGATGACTGATTTATTTCAGAGTTTATAATGTTAGAAAACCCTTTGGGGGCCTTTGATTTTTGTATTAGTAAACAAAGTGCCTATTTTAGAATTATATTGTGCATGGTTTTTATAACAAATTTTTGATGTTTCAAAGTATAGTTTATTAAAATATGTATTTAAAGTCAGACGGCTCTATTATATATAAAGGGGAAATGACCAATTTAGAAGATGGGCTTATATGTAAGAATTCAATTTATTTTCATTGGGTCTTTTTTATTGTTCCACCATGTGATTTAATTTAAACTAGATCCTTTTTTAAAACCCTATAGTAATAAATGCAAACTGTTAATTGAGGTTTAAGGTTTTATTGGCCTAAAAGAAGTAGAAAGCTTCCTTTTCTTCTTTAAACCACATTATTGTGGCCCTTAATTTTGAGATATGGTAGCTGTAAGTAGTGAATTGCTTAATTTCTTTAATCACCATGCTTAAACAACTTTGGCAGTTATATATTCAATTATGTTTGCTGCCTATTGCTAATTGTTTTTCCTGACCTAGGTAGTCTGTTTATAGAAGTTTCATAAATAAGAAAGTTTTTAACAATTGATATACTGAAATTCTCAGCTTGATTGGATCCTGATAAGTGAATGGATTCACTGTGTGTTGAAATAAGTTTAACTAAAAGACAAATATGCCAGAGAACAATTTTTTTAAATGCATGGATAAAGGTAGCACAAAAATAATAGGCAAAGAGTAACGAACAGTTCCTTGAAAAGAAAGAAGAAGCTACACATACACTAATGAAAAAAAAATATAACTATCAGTTTAAATAACTTATTTTAAGTAGAGGATGTTTGTCATCCTTTAACTTTGAAGCACTTTAAAATTAATAATATCCTTTATTAAAATATCTTCTCTAACAGCTGAAACACACCCCCGATTTGCCTTTTAATGAAAAGTTTGTTAGATTATTCAGAAATAGTGTGAAGTTCTAATTTTGAGGAAGAAAATAAATTCAGCAGATTAAAGTCTATGTTTTCTTTAATGCCAATACTTTTATTAAAGTCTTTACTCATAGGATTATAAATAATATATAAAATAAATTGTAAAGCTATCCTATTCAGGCATAAAAGCCAGGTCCTAATGGGTTTTATTTTGCAAGAATTCTATCTGAGCTTAACAAATCCTATAACAATGACAGTATATAATCCATTTAATATAGATCACAGAATTTGAAAGTTTCCTGAGATATAGATTTTTTGGTTTTCCTTATTTGCCTGTGTTCATCATAGTATCTTAAAGTAAATCTAGCATAGGCCTTTTACATTCTTTGTCCATAAGCAGGACAAACAATATTCTTTGAAATATTCTGCATTGAAACCTCAATGAATGTAAACTTATTAATGGAATTTTCACAGGAGAGAACATGGTCATGGTTTGGATGGAATTGGCTGAGTGGGTCATTAACTATAATAGGAAGTAATCCTTCTGGGTATATGGTTTTGTATTTAGGAACGGGGAAAGAGTATTATTACCTTCCTTTGGAAGTGTTTTAGAAGGCTTTGCACTTAGTTTTGTTTCTGGACTAAGTGGTTTTGTATTTTTACTAATTCTCGGTTTTTAAATGATTCTTCTCGGATCAGTACTCCCGTTTGGCTCATTTTCTGGTTTAATAAGTGCTTCTTTTAGTGTATATTTTTTAAGATTTCTGGTTATTACGGGTTCTTGTGCTTATACATGCTGTGATAGGTGCTATGTACATTAATAAGAAAAATAACATGGAATTATCCAAGAGGCTAAGAATTAAAGCTCTGTATAAAATTTTCTGTATAAGATTATATTAAAGTGTTTTAGATTTATATGCCTACTTTTTTTGGTGTAGTTATGCTCTAAGGTCTTAGGTTTTCTTTCTTCTATATACTTCTAGGGTATCAACTATTAAAAAAGCATTACTAATATATTTTCCCTGATGGTGGGCTTTTAGCTTATGAAAAATATGTAACTGAAAGACTGGTATGTTTTAGAATATAGTGCTTATAAACCAAATAATCCAGGTATTAATTTATCTTGATCTGCAGTGAAAGTTTCCAAATAAACCTTAGCATTTTTCTAATAATGGACTATTCCAGGGTTCTAGAAAATTAGCAGGTTAATTCTCCAAAACTATAGTTGAAGATTCACATGGAAATCTTTGGATTTGCCTACTAAATTGAGTAGTCATCCTTTTTTGTTTCCTCATGGCAATTTAAACATCTTTGTAATTCATTCCAGTTTGAATATGATTACACTTGACCTAGATGACATTGATTTCATAAATAAAACCTTTATCTCTCAGGGAAGAATTCCAGTTCCCTAGTTATTTGCTGTAGTGTGTTGTAATTATCTTATGATATTGTGTCTTCATTAAGAAATATGAATTTCTAGCACATTTCCTATGTAAGTCTAGCTACTGTAGGTAACTACATTTTATCTTTTCTTTCTTTTTTTTTTTTAATGTAAGAAGAACAAACATATTCTCCTTAGTATTCAGACCAAGTCCTTCAAAGCTGCTTGGACATTGAGCTAAACTAGAGCCCTCACTGAATACATTACTGTTGATTTTTGGATTCGTGCCTTTACCTAAGGGCTTTCTGTGTCAGCAGAGAAATGGAAGAGACTTTTTGTCCTATTCCAATTAAAACAAAAAGCACAAGCTCAAACTGGTTTTCAGAACACATGAGGTTTTTTTTCCTAAGGTTAATCCAAAAAATACTATAAAAACTTCAAGGATAATTAATAGATCAAATATGAAAGGGTGAAAAATTGTTAACCCTACTAAAATTCTAGCCAATAGAGCTAAGAAAAGGTAGGTTTTTATATACAAAAAGCATATAGATTATTCACACCTCTTGTTTTCCCATCTGTGTTTGAGCACATGATATCTCTAATAAGTATTTTTAAAAATCACAATATAATCTTGGGTCATTCTATTTTATTCTCTAAAGTAGTAGTGCAGTTCTGCTGCTAAATTAGTATATATATTCCCTTATTACAAAAGTGCATAAATCAAGACATTTTGATACATGGAATTTTAAGACATGTTGGACTGGAGTAGCCCCCTTTGAAACTAAAATAATTGAATGTAAATATACTAGGCAAATGTAGAGTTTCCATTCAATAAAAAGGCAGTTAATAAATGGCACAAGGTTAAACATAAACTGTTTAAAATATTAAACCACATATTGCTAACACAATTTCAGGGCTATAGGATATGAGAAATTATAAGGTAGGAGGATAAAATGCTACCTAAAAATTGTCTCCAGTCTTTTCTATAACCAAAACTGTCCAGAGAAGTTTTTGGTCTCTCTTCATGGCTTTGGATAAAAGCAAAAGTATGAGAAATCATCTCTCAAACCTGGATTTTAAATACTTGATGATATTTAAGATATAGAAACAACTAAATGTGTACATTGTCCATAGAATTAGAATAAAAGCATTTTAGGCCATGTATATAGCATAACTGTGTGGTGGGTTTATTTCTCCATTAATGGATGGTATCTGTAACTAATCACATTTTCTGCCTTATAGGCCTGCCTCGTCCCCTCAGCTTTCACACGATGATACTCATTCACGCATTGAGCATTATGCTAGCAGGTATGAGACTAGTTGAATGCCAGGCAAATATTGATTGAAATAACTAACCAAGGAAAGCTAACCTATAATAATTTAAAACAAATCTTTTCTTTTTGCCCGATCTTGTCTGATTTCTACTAATCAACTTGCCCTCTAACGTGCATGCCGTTCCACTGCATGTTGTTTTTGGACACCAACAAGAGCATTAGTCCAGAACAATCTTCCCTAACCCTGGCCTTTAAACATTTCCGGTAGCCTTGTTATGTTTTTTTGTTTAACCTCCTTAGAAAACTGCTAGACTAGATCTTAATATATGAAGAAATGATACTGTGTTATGTGGAGACTATGAAAGCACCAGCTTTTCATTTGTGTTTATTTTGATATACTGTAAAGAAGAAAATAATTAATTTTCCCAATCTTTGCACCTTTCTGTCCCACTTTCTTTATGTTTGAGATAATTTTTATACCTGAAAACTGAATTACTAATTATAAAATATCTTATGCTTGTGAAATAAATCTGCAAGAGTTTGGTTAACTTCTTTTAAAGTTGTAAAAAATATTATTGTCTGAGGTGAAGGAGATTTTTAAAGGTAAAAATTGGTGGCAAAATGTTTAGGGAGCTTACTGTACATCCATCCTTTATCAATAGTCAAACTGCTGGACATGCTTAGCAGTCATGGAAAACATTAGCATGAGTCTGCAATCAGTGGAAAGCATTAACTGTCTTAAAACACAAGGAGTAGTGAGTGTAAGGTAGGGAATGCATTTGTCGTCAGGGAAGCTTTTCTTTTGAAAACAAAGACCTGTTCTCAGTGAAAGCAAGATTGATCTGTGGGGGAAAAAAACAACTAAATACAACTTCCTTTAGAATTTATATCATAAATGTAAAGCTACTGACTAGTTGTGGTCTACCACACACTGCCTCAAATAGTTTTAAGCCAACACACACATCCTTTAATTGAAGTATTCCTTTCTCTTCTTGCCGTGATTTATCCTTTAGTTTTCAGGAATGTTCGATTAGGTCTTGAATAGATTCTAAGAAGTCACATAAGTTTTAATGAGCTTTTACGTTTTTTATCAGGCTAGCAGAAATGGAAAACAGCAATGGATCTTATCTAAATGATAGCATCTCTCCTAATGAGAGCATGTAAGTATCCCATCTCTTTTTACAAAATGTTCCTGACAATGAAATTGCTTTGAGGGATTTAGAGGTAGGATAGCACAGGATATAGGAATCAGCATCTTATTCATTTGATCTTTCAAGGAGCCATTCATTTACTTTTTTTCTTTAACTCTTAACAGCCTGGCATGGAATGAGCTCATCAAAATTTTGCCATTATTGGTATTCCAGAGTAGCAAAAATAGTTGGTCTTATTCTTATTTAAACTTATTTCCCACCATATTATTACAATTTGCAGAGTCCCAAAGACTTATATTAAATGCCTATTGTTTGACCAAATCTGCCAGATATTTCAAGGGTTAGGGTATTAATTTTAAAGTGATGGCTAAGTAGTATTTTCTCCACTCATGGGGAGTGGAAATATGATCTTGATATAGCATTGCTATTTCCATATGGTAGGTTAGTTGGGATTTTTCCTTCAGAAATCCAAAGTAGTAGATTTTTATGATTTAGCATCTTAATGAGATAAATAAAGTAAGGCAATCTTGTGAAGGGTTTCCAGAGGAGGGAGTACAAATTCAGGGTGTAGTTTGTTAGTTGGATGATAAGCCATCCCTGTCAAACTTTAAGGAGAGAGATAGAGTGGTGTTTAAAGTGGCAGAGAACAAAGCTATGGCAGGGAGACAGGCTTCATTATAGAGTAGGGACACAGAGGAACATTGCTGTGAACCAAGTATCTGCCAACTGAATAAGTTAGTAGAGAAAGAAGAAATCTAGTCAAAGTACAATGATGAATTTAGTTTGCCCAGTTACAGATATCTTACCCATCTTGTCATGGAGCATCTAGGCAAAAGGAAGAATGGTAAATTTATCATATGTAGTTGGTGTGGCAACCCAAAGTTATGCTCAGATGAGAAAAGGGCTTTTATGAGGCTTAGGCTGAGAGAAATAGTATCAAAGCGGCACTTAATATATATTTATATATAACTAGTTACTGAAGACATGAGAATAAATCTCATCTGGTACATGAAGGTGATCAAGGTCAATAATCAGTCATTTGTATAAGACTTAGTTACTTCAAACAAACAAACAAACAAACCCCACAACCTTTTCCCAAACATAACTGTGACGCATTCTCTTCCTTAGCTATAAGAAAAACTATTAATGGGGGTATTAATATATAAAATGCTTTGACAAGAAAATGTGTGACCAAAGAATCAACCACATGTAGATGGTTTGAATGATTTGCTTCTTTGGCTCACTGATTTTGATGTTAGAAGTTCTAGCACGTTCAAATTAATTCAAGTTGTATCTATATAACAGTGGTTGTCATTCATCACCTGCCTAAGAGAACAATAAGAAAAGTATAATTACAACTATTTGTTATAATTAAACATGAGAAGTTCTAGGAATAAAACTTCAGAATTTGGGAAGAGGGATAATGTATTAGATAGGTGGTAAAACTGCTTTTGTTTCATTTTCAAATGAAATTTAGCTTTAGCTCATTCAGGACATAAAACCCATTTTGACTCAGTGATGGATGGTAAAAATCATGATATTTTAGGGACAGGTTTGGGGAAGTGGTTTGGTGGATTGGTTGATTTAAATATTTGTTTTTAACACCCAATAATTATTTTTAGTCAGCTTTTCACATCTCAACCATCTGGCTTGATGGACCAAAATAATAATATAAACCAGGAGGACTTTTTTCTAAATATTTGATTTTTTCCAACTTAAAATTAAGTAGGTATACATAAGGAGAAATATTAAAGTATCATCTTAATGATATCTAAACAGAAACAAAGAGCGTTAGCCTCTTATTAAGAATAAAATGAAATTCTTATTATAACTTGGAAGTAAATAGAGCTTTTAGGAGCTTTTGGAGCAATACATTTAGAAAAGTTTCTCCTGTGTATTAGAGAATTCCTAGTTTCCAGGAAAGATTGCAGCTGCCTCCCAAAATATAAGCCTTTTTGCCTCCTTCCCCCTTCAGATTAATCCTTAAAACCATTACGTAGCAATAAAAAAATAAAGATAACTAAAAACTGAAATGTTATAAAAAGACCTCTAAGAAATGAGTGTTTGGTCAGTCACCTTAATGGCTTTTTTCTCGATTTTTGTTTTTCTATCTAAAAAATAATTGAACAAAACTATCATTTACCTACAGTTTAATTATTGTTATCATCTTGCCTCCATGACTTTTATAAGTTAGAACTGGCTTACTGAAGCCACACTTTTTGCTTGCATTGCCTTGTACTTAAGAAAATATTTATTATTTTAAGGGCTGCAGCTTTTTTCCTAGTCAGCATCAACAGTAGCATGGCTGAGTGAACACATTATCTCAACAGGCTTGGTAGCCAAAGCATGATAAAACCATTATTATGTCTTTTAATATTTATTAATTATTAGCTAACTGTTGACATAGAGTCCCAGCATTTCTGTAGTTCTGCCTTTCATTTATCCATGTAAATAGGCCAATCAATTTCATTCGAAAATTTGAGCAAGAAACACTTTGAATTGTCACCGGTAGGATGGTAGACCACAACCTCAACAGTAGCAAAATGTCTTTAGAAGCAGGAAAAACGGTCTAATTAATTGTTAAGAGCAAATAAATAAAATGTTTCTATTTTCAAATACACACCTGAGTCCCTTCCTCCCAAAGCAAAATAAGGGGGGGAAAAAACCAAAACCTTTGATTTTATTTTCCAGAGATGATGAACATTTGTTAATCCAGCATTACTGCCAAAGTTTGAACCAGGACTCCCCCCTGAGCCAGCCTCGTAGTCCTGCCCAGATCTTGATTTCCTTAGAGAGTGAGGAAAGAGGGGAGCTAGAGAGAATCCTAGCAGATCTTGAGGAAGAAAACAGGTGAGTTTTCTTTCTAGTTTGTAATTGGTATGCAGAGTGCATACACTTGCACACATAGAAGAGTGCCAGGAATCTTCACTTAGAGTCATTCTATGTCTAATTGTTTTCTAAAATAATCTGTTTAGCTCCATTTGCAGATTCTCTTTTTTGTTATCGGAAAGAAGAAAATGAATGCAATAGTATGATTAAGAACTCATATTTTAGGTGTAAAGGAATTAATGCTGATGGTGGTGTTTGATTTGTTGCATGTGTCTCCAAGGCTTTGATTTTATATTTGAGAATAGAATTTAAGAAAAAAAACAGGTTATTTAACTTTATGATTATGTAATTTTTACATGTGTCTGGCCATATTATCTATCACTAACATTTAAGATAATAGGTTCACTGGCTTGGTCATATTTGGGAACAAATTATTTCATCTTATTTCTCATCATCAAGTGCAGAGATCATCACTTATGCTCACCATCATAGCGGATTAGTGAGACAGTTCCAGTTGTGAGCCATCACCTGCAAAAGATGTTCATGTAAAAATAATAGAAACTGTAAAAGAGGAAAAAGACTAAAGAAATCTCACAATGACTGCAGAGAGGACAAAGATGTAAAAATCTGGGGTATTGTGTGGTGTCAGGGTAATGCAAATCATTGGACTTTTACTTTTGTATTACATTTATATCACAGATCCCTTGGTTTAAAAAGCCTTTGCACATGATCTCTTGTAACTCGTAGTGTTCCTTCTTCAGACACATGCCACCAGGCAAGTCTTTAGAGTTGCTCAAATTTGCAGGACTTGAGTACTTTCATCTCTTTGGTTTAGCCCAAGGCACCAAGACCTCTTAATCTAGGCAACAGAGTGTGTCTGAGATCAGTGCCCTCAGGGAGTATGTCATCTCAAGATGAAAAGGCAAACTGCCATTCATCCATTGCTTCCTGCTGCCACTGCCTGCCTTCTAGCTCTTAACACCTCTCACCGTAGCCAGTAGCTCCTTATCTGGTTGGATCCCCTTTAGTCTCTTTCCTACCCCTCCAATAAATCCTTCATACTAACTCTAGGTTGTGCATCTTTCTAGAACCAAGTCCCATCATGGCATTTGCCCTTCATTGGATTTCTGCATGTAGAAAAAAATCTAGCTTCTCAGCTGGATATTTAAAACCTTCCACAATTTTCTCTTGACCCGCTTTTTCAACTTCATCTCCTTTTGTACTCCCTGTGTTCTAGCCATGCTGTTGTAGCTAGTATTTCTGAATATATCCTGCTCTCCTCTACTTTCTGGGTCAAGCTCAAGCTTGCTTCTCAGCCTAGCTGCTAACCCCCACACCTGCACTGCCATATCTGACAAAGGAGTCCTACCCATCCTCTGTGACATTGCTCAAAATAACTTTCCCCACAGAACCCTGCTAGATCCCTGCAGTTGGAAGAAATCTATCTTTTGCCTATATTCACAGAACATTTTGGACCTTTCTCAGAGAACTCCTTGACAGTTTGCCTTTTTATCAGTTATTACCAGTGCCTCCCTCTAATGAGATAGTAAGTGCCTTTGGGGCAAGGACCATGTCATAATCATCTTCATGTCCCCTGTAGTACTTAGCACAGTGTAAGTGTTTAATGAGTACTCAGGAAATGTTTTGTGAAAACCTGAGAATACAGCAATAATATCACAAGAGTACCATCCAGGAGATAATATTGAACTTTTTTTTGTTTTAATGATAAATTTATTTTTGGCCTTATTTTTAAGATCCTTTGGCAATGAAGACCATGGTAGATAAAATATTTTCCTCTACATTATTGAGAATAATCAGTATTATCCATTTATATTAAATCCTTAATTATTGTAGAGGTCAAAGTCAAATTGGAAGAAAAAGTTGCAGTTGACACTGTAAATAGAATTTGATGTTACTGTGGAATAAATATATTTTTGTAGTATATGATTGTTAACCATTGTGTAATATATATTTTTAGCCCACTGGTCAAGAGCTCTACCTTTTTTGTTGTTTGCATACTCTCCCTCCATATCATGGCAACTAGATCAAAGAATGTTGGTACAGAGTATTGATAACTACCATTTATATATCATTCTATCACTTTTAGTACACTTTAATATATTTTAGGTCATTTAATCTTCCTAAATGCTCTATCAAGAAGAGCTTGTCTCCTTTCTGTGAATGAGAGATGTAGGCTCAGAGAGGTTCGAATAACTTGCCCCAGATCTCAGTCAGCCAATGGAAGAACTAAATTCAAATCCAGATATTAATAGCCAACTATTAATAGCCAACAATTAATAATCCAACAATTAATAGCCAACATCCAGACTGTAATAGCCAACTGTACCTTGGACCAGAGAATAAAGAAGAGTCATTCTATGTGAATGTCATTTACATAGAATCTTGGCATATTCCTTGGAATGTGCCTTAACTTGAGAGAATACCTGTAAGGACTAGGTGTCCCTGTATAAACCAGTTCATCTGCTTGTAGTACAGTGATAAGACAGGATGATCTCTTTCCATCATGTATGGAAAGCCATTGCAAAGATCAAGTAGGGGAGATATGACCAGATTTGTGTTTGAAAAGCTCACTCCAGTGCTGAGGCAGAGACCATGCCAAACCGCGTCAGGTTGTGCAGAGGCCAAGCTTGTTTTCAGATTGGAGGCTGAGAGAGAAGGTGTAAGACCTTCCATCTTATGGGAATATTTGCCTTCTACCAACTTTAGGCCAGAATCATATTGCTCACTGTGAAAAGCTGTTGTAAGACTTGGAGGACAAAGGGTAGATAGAAGATGTTATATAAAATAAGTATGAAAATCAACTCAGGACAAAATTAAAGAAAGTTTCAGAAAATAAAAATAGATGCCATTTCAGAGTTAATGTCATAAAGTCTGTTAGCGAAAACTCAGCACTTGTCCTTGAGACAGCATCAGAAGAATGAGAGCACGTGTTTTGGGGAGGAGGAAAGATAATCTTTATTACTTTGCCTGCAAAGGAGGAAAAATGGCAGACCTTCTTGTCTCAAAATCCAAATTTCCTGAACATAGACAGAAATACAGAGCTTTTAAAGGGAGGACCCCTCAGTTCTAGGCTATCGTGGTTAATTATTCTAATCATCCCATCCCCGCCAAAGACAAAGCCTGTGAACTAAAAAAGCTAGCTGCCCACCTTGGGGGGCTGGACTGGCACCCATCTGGGATAAGAACAAAAGGCTTTCCCTCTTTTCCTCCCAACCACTGGCCTGAGACAGGGATGCAATTCTCAAAAAGAATGGGGGAAGTTTTAAAGAGAAAGAAATTTTTTTGCTGTTTCTCCCGCCTCTAGGCCCTTCTCTCTGTTACAAGTCTTTAGATCTGTATTGCTTCATTTGCAGTTCTGTTTCTGTTTTGTTTCATTAGGAAGTTTTTGGGTTATTTTCTTTTGTTTTTTTGTCTATTGTTTCCTTAATGTAGCTAGTATGATCTCAGTTCTGTTTGGGCAAAAGCCTTAACTTCTTGGAAGGAACTTCAGTCTTTTCCTTGAGCTCTAAACTATCACGATCCTCTGACAAACAGAGATTCTGTAAGTGACATACACATTTATATCAGACAGTGAATGCTTGCCAAATACAAGCTCTGGGAATTTATAGAGTCCAACTTCAGAGAACAAATAATAGGACAAACCTTCTAGCCAGAAAGTTCCCCAAACACAAGCTCTCTGGGCTTCAGGAGTCTGACAGAGGGGAGAAGATGAATTTTAAAGCAAACAATCCTAGCAACTTGTCCCATATTTGCAAAGATAAGGAGTAATGGGACAGTGATCAGACTCCCAACATTTTTAAAGGACGAAAAACAGGAATCAGGTAATCACCTCCTCCTATACGAAAGATATCCAAGACCATTCTTCAATAATGGAATGGTTTGTTCTCTGAAAGAAAGAAAAACATTACACTAGAGCTTTCAGGAGCTCTAAAATGAGGACTCTGGTGTTGATGCAAGTCTTTCTGTGAGTTATCTTGACCTTCAAGAAAAGGTCAGGATGAGCTTTCTTCTTTCTCCTTCCACTTTGTCACATTTTGACCTCTTGCCAAATCCTAAAGAAATGTCTCTACAGAGCTCCCATCCTGAAAACAGCCTGTGTGGTTTTCTTTGCTCTATCCTCTCCTGTCTTCTTTGCAGTTCTGCACAAGGAGCTTCAGAGCCATAGCTTTGCCTTCAGGACCCTTGAATTCAAAGTTGCTTAACCACTTTAGTCCGAGCGTCAACTATAGTTGATAGCCACAGATGAACTGAGTGTCTACTTTAGCCGACAGCCGTGATATGACTTTTCTAATTTTTCATTTATCAAAATAAAATTGTAAACATTCAAAAATAACGTAATGAAAACATATATGTATATGTTACCTATTCTGATTTACATTACAAGTAAAGCTGCCTGTAAAGCAAAACAAGCTTTCAGTGCTTTCAAGCTTTCCTCACCACACAAGAGCAAAACGGACTCGTCCTCAATGCACAGCACAAACTGTCATGCAGACTGTGAGTGCTGGCTGTAGGCAAGGTTTCACAAGCCAGTCAGCACCTTACGGAAGTGGTTAAGGATCCTTTAACTTGCCATTTCCTGTCCTTCCCCTGAGAAAACCCAGGAAGTCATTAGATGCCCTCTCTCTGTGCCTGCCAAATCAAAGTTGGGCTTTGTAACCTAACAAATACTAGCGTACTTTTAGAGAAAATGGGAAAGGATATTTAAAATCGAGATTGTCTCAAGTCCTTTGGATGTGTATTTATTACAGCTATGTGTATTTTGTGTTCCTTTAATCTGTAGCTATGACTTATTTCCAAATAACGGCAAAGGAGAGAAGCTTAGAGACCCCCATTCCTGACTAGATATGTTATTAAATTCTGTTAATTATTTTTCACGATACCTCCCTACAATCCCCTAGGAAAATAGAGGATGGCTATCTTAAAAATGTCTCAGGGGTGTCTTATCTATCTCTGTCTTAGAATTCCATTTTTCCCAATTGTTACTCATAACATTCAATAAA